CTAACATTATCTGTAACCCTTCACATATTTACACAGCTGCGTACACTCACTATAATTACAGAATCGAACACAATACATTACAAGCAGAGCAGAAATATGCACATACATACATTTCTATACATGCCGTTGTGAAATAAGAATATATGTTTGGGTTTATTTTATTTTCATTTTATATATTTAAGGCCTGCAATGTCTAGTTAATAAGTACATTATACTCACTTTATCCTCCTTTTTGGGGTTGCGGAAAAAAGGGTACCTTAGAATGTTGTGCCAATAGGCGCCTGACATTTAAATCCGGCCCTGGTTACAATCCATACCCAGCCAGTGTGCCCATAACCACTTACCAAACTAGCATTCCCAAATCATGATCCATCCCCAGCCAGCATAACTATAGTCTTCCAACCAAGCCAATGTGCTTATATCAAGTCTCCTCATTGCCTAGCTAGGATGTTCACGGCTCTAAGCCAGCTTACTCGTATCCCTTGTCTGTTGGCATGCCAATTTTACTGTTCCTCATTTTAATCAAGGTTGTGCCAACTAAGAGCAGCTTGAAAACCAGAATGATCCAGGCACTCAAGGTATGTACATCAGGCAGAATTATTGGAGAACACAGTAACATTTTGACCTCCACTGAGGTCTTTGTCAAGTTTGAGTGCATGGACCATTCTGTTTTTCTACTATTTGACTGAGGTTTAGTCCACCTCAGATCCAATTAAGCACCTTGAGTGTGAAGTAAGTGCGGGTGACCTCTAGTTTCTACATAACTATGAGAAGCAAGTCATCGGTGGCTTGTTTGTGAGATCAGGTAGGTGTTTGTCAGAGCAAAAACAAGGTGCAAGAGGGTACTGAGAACAGACAACAACTCAAGTAGCCTGCAACCCCAAACAATCGTTTCTGCCTCGTCAGTGAGGCTTTGCCCACGTTAAAAAAGTTAAAAAGGTAATCCTAGAGGGATATCAGCAACACTTCACTGACAATGCCCAAAAAAGGCCAAAACGATTGTCTGGGGTTGCTGTATCCTTTGTGCAAAGAGAACTTGCCGGCATTTCGTTTCTGGATGGCCCTTATGCGTGGGATAAGTCTGATATGCATCAGAACATGTTCTCTCTGTAGTGGCACAGGTGAGCAAAACCTATTTTGAGACCTGAAAGGGGATTTACCGAAGGACAAGCTACGGAGATTCTCTAAGCTTTTGTCCGTTCTCAGAGTTCTCATATTCTGTGTTTTTGTTGCAGGTCTTCTTAGTCAATATATACCTAGCCCTCATTGCCCAGTCAATATGTCTGTCTTTCCCCAGCTATCAAACCCATGCCCCGTCACCAACTTGCATACTATGCCCCACTGATCAGCCAACATGGCCTTTTCACTATATAGACATTAGATCAATATCCCCCATGTCCTTGCCCTGTCACCTCGTTATCTGAATTGCTCTGCCCTACCACTCTGCTAATGATCACTGCCCACAGCCAAAAGGTATATATGGCACTGGGCATGCAACTATCATTCCTTCTCCAATACCCATCCAGAAAAGGAGGGAGGTAGCATAGACATTATGTAGTGCAATGGCACATCTAATGGTCATCTTTCAGTTTTATACTCAAAGATGTATATGAAACAATTAGCTTAAAGGTCAACTGTGGCCTCAAAATTATTTTAATATAATACTTTCTTCAAGTTTTGAAAGGAAAAATATATATATTTTTTTATAATGAAGTATATATATATATAAAAAAAAAACATGATAAAAGTGAATCCGTACCTTTAGTACATGATCATTACATTGGCCCTCAGCCATATAGATACACCTTGGTTTAGATAGTGTTTGAAAACTGACAGTCTCTATGGTTTTCCTTGTTTCTGTACAGGGAGTGAAGTCGGAAAGACCATAGAGACAAGCTGATTTAAAAATGCCACAGCTATAAAAGTTAAATAAATAAATAAAAATCAATAACTTAATAATTCTATAACCTGAACTTTCAATATTATATATATTTTTTTTTATTTCACAGTTTTTCCCTCTGTAGCAAATAAACCCAACTTTGAACACAAAGTTATTGGCATAATAATGCCAGTGTATATTTGGTGCCATGCTCAGAAATGTCACCATGCACAAAGTAATGAAAACAATCTGAGTATATAACACATTATTAGAAGTAATAGAATTTAGTGTGCTCATTAAGGAAAAGTTTGTTAGTAAGCGACCTATTTTTTAATATCTCGCTCAATTTCGGAAACACATTTTTATATTAACTTTCTCCTTTGAACTTTGATTGCATTAATAATCTTTTTTTTTTATTTCCATTTCCTATGCTTGGCACAAATCCCTTCTCACAAATCATGTTTGTCTTTTTATAGTCTGAGAAGGTTTAGCACACCAGTAGCAAAAATATAAAGTAAATACCATCTGCCTATATCATATACAGTGTTTGCTTGGCTGCAAACATTCTGATTAGTTTAATATAAGCAAAACGAAAATACACTATGACTATGAGAATCACGCAGATAATCCAGGAATTCACGCTGCTTCTGTAAAATAACTATTATACACTGGAGCAATTCATTAAATGCCACTTGGCTCTAGATATACTACTTAAAGGAACACTCCCAGCATTCTAACCACACACTGCTTATAATGTTACCCAGGTATTCTCCCAGAGAAATTTGTCAAAAGGTTCTAAAACAGGTTGACACGTTATTCTGGGAGGATGCTCCGGCACTCTTGGTGGTAACACCGTAGCCACTACAGTGCACTGTAGTGGTTATGGTACCTGGAGTGTTTCTTTAAAGGGAAATAATGCCTGTGCTTGGCCTCTAGTAGGTGTTGCATATTCATATTTGCCAGACTATGGAGTGTGTATGATTGATGATAGTAACTATTCATGAGCAATATCAACTGTTATTGGTGGCAATCGAGCTGAAGTTATGCACATATCTTTGTGAATGTCCCATCATGCTGTGCAAGTCATTTTATGCAAAAATTTAAAAAAAAAACAATGGCCTTGTTTGTTCTTGCTCCCCCTCACTCGTCCCCCAGGCCAAAATATGTCAGCCCTCCACTGGCACCCCAATTATAGGGACACTATTGTCAAACAATTATGGCATATAGATCATGCCATTAAAGCCTCACTGCTCAATTCTCTACCATTTAGAAGTTGTCATTTTGTTTATGCACCCTATCCACATCTCCTTTCATGTGACTTGCACTGCCATCCTAAACATTTCCTGTAAAGAGTCATCTAATGTTATTACTTTATTTATGCACATTCTGTTTAATTTAGAATTTATTTTCTGCTCCTCTGTTAATACCTTGCAATACCCCGCAGTAGCCTCCTGTATGTAATTAAAGTTCAGTTTAAAGAGAAGGTGTTAAAAACGTTTAAAGTTGCATCTGCTCTTAAGCAGATTCCCCTCCCCAATGTCCCCGGTACTTCGGAACCGATCCTTCCAACCGGGAATGACAGCAGGTGACTTTAGTGGCCTTGAGAGAGCAGATCACCCCCATGGATCTATGCTGTCACGGCTGCGGGGAACGAGGCACCTATGTGCACATGTGGTGGAAGTGCCCCTCAGTACAGGCATACTGGGTTCAAATCATTAGTCTTAGCACAAACATACTGCAGAGACTGTTACAGTTAGACCCCTGGGCCTGCCTTCTCTCCAGACCAACAGTCGGCCTCACACGTCCAGAGCAACAATTATTAAACATGATTTACTTAGCGGCCCGTAGGGCGCTAGCACAGAAATGGTGATGCCCGGAAGTGCCCCCGATGGCTCTGGTCCTAGCAAAGATAAAAGACAACTACCTTATGGATAGATTAACCTCCCTAGTCAGACACACAACCAAAAAATTTAGCAGAATATGGGAGCTCTGGGAACAATATCAGGAGAACACGCAGAGTTAACAAGAGAATCAAGCACTCACATGGGAGGGGTGGCGAGGGGACACATGACGACCCTCGTCCGGGCTGCGGACAAGGATACACCGACTTACCGTTTCATTAAGCGCAATGTGTAGTTTCATGTATGTTCTACTTGTAGGAATGTTAAGGAATGTTAAATAACTACTAGTTAGCAACTGTCTAACATCATGCCAACCAAAATGACAGGTGTACTCAAAACAACACCCGATTGACAAACCATGTAGAGTTGTGGCCCTAAAACACAAAATGAAGAATTAACCACCGACGAGAATGGAAGCGCTAGTAAACATGCATATTAGTTTAAAAGTATCGCGCTTCATCTTTACACAACTGAACCGCTTGAAAACAGCTTCTGCGCAAGCCTATACATTTATCAATGTATGTATGCCTAGTGCGGCTTCTGCGTAAGCCTATACCTGGGCACGAATATGCATTCATGCAGCGGCTCCTGAGAAAGCCTTAGCATTGTCACAAAAGGGCACTTCGTTATTGGCTATGAAAAACAAAGAATGTTATATAAAAATATATACACCACACATATAAGTGCCGGCAGCACACCCTATTTTTATGTTGTTTCAGGTTAAAATTTAAATCTGTTTTAAATCTGTTTTGTTTTATATATAAATGTAAAAACCCTGACAGAACAAGACCGCAAGGAAGAACTCTGAACAGTAGCATTAGCATCTAACAACCCAATCTCTTTTTTCTGTATCACTGTGAAACTGCTGTAAAACACGAATTTTGGCTTTTGCATAAGTCCAAGTACTGTTCACATGCCTGAAATGTCTGTCATTGAAAATAAAGAATTATAAAAGTTGCATCTGCTCAGAACAGAAACCATTGTTTTCCAAGCAGGCTGTGTGCCTCTGGCTGCATAAACAGAAATATAAGTGATTTAATACCTAAATGGCAGAGAATTAAGCAGTGAAATTTCAGAGGCAAGATATGTACACCAAAACAGGTTCATTAAAGGACCACTCTAGGCACCCAGACCACTTCAGCTTAATGAAGTGGTCTGGGTGCCAGGTCCAGCTAGGGTTAACCCATTCTTTCATAAACATAGCAGTTTCAAAGAAACTGCTATGTTTATGAATGGGTTAAGCCTTCCCCCTAATCCTCTAGTGGCTGTCTCATTGACAGCCACTAGAGGCGCTTGCGTGCTTCTCACTGTGATTTTCACAATGAGAGCACGCAAGCGTCCATAGGAAAGCATTGTAAATGCTTTCCTATGCGACGGGCTGAATGCGCGCGCAGCTCTTGCCGCGCGTGCGCATTCAGCCCAGGAGGAGGAACGGAGGAGGATTGGAGGAGGAGAGCTCCCTGCCCAGCGCTGGAAAAAGGTAAGCTTTCCAGAGCCGGGCGGGAGGGGGACCCTGAGGGTGGGGGCACCCTCAGGGCACTATAGTGCCAGGAAAACGAGTATGTTTTCCTGGCACTATAGTGGTCCTTTAAGCTAAAGTTGTTTTGGCAACTATGGTGTGATGGAATTTCGGTGAAATGTAAATTTAGTAGGCCGAGATTTCCACGTGGCATATGTGTATGTTGTATCAGTTAGTTAGTTACACATAGCTAAGATACTGTCATCAATGTACTGAGCATGTGCAGGAATGCAGGAACTGAAATCACATTCCTTTCTCCTTTGTTTCGGATGAGCCATGTGGTCTGCCCTTATAAGGAAATCCAAATCCTGCCCACTGATTGGTTAACCCCTTAAGGACCAAACTTCTGGAATAAAAGGGAATCATGACAGATTAAGGGGTTAAGGGTATGTGCAGGTGGAGCTATTAATGGGAGGAGTTATAGTTCTTTAAAAAGCATGTACTCCATGTGTTCGGCCCCCCAGACCTGTTTTGGAACGTTAGTTCATCTGAGACCCGATCGGTATGTTAATAAAGACCTCTTACTTCCTGAAAACCTGCATCCATCTCTCTGTGTCTAGCTTCTGCAAGTTTACTCAGTTACATCTTTGGTGCATTGGCTGGGAACCTCATTGCATAGAAGCTGTCGCAGAGATTTGAGATGGTAAACTTTTTACCATCGTTCTCTATGGCAGCACCCCTGAACTTCTGCGTGGACATCCCTTCATCTTGGCGCCACTGGGCTGCTTCGCCCAGGAGATCATCGGCCTTTACGTAGTAAGTACCGGGGTGCCCTGTCGATGAGTGTGAGCCCAAGTACAGGAACGAAGAGGTAAGACTGATAGCGTTAAAGAGGTAGGCCCACAAGTGGTTTTATATTTGGAACCGGTTATTGGATTGCCCCCGCCCTCTGGAGGGAAGAAGCAAAGGCGCACCGCTTATCTGGAAATTAGACGCTCTGTAGTCAGCCCGTCTAATATAGGTGGTTTGGGTCAGGCTAAATCTTGGTGTAAATGGTTTATGCCGGACACCGGTGTCCTGTCTTGACTAGTGTGTCTAGGTGTAAATTTCAGTCGCTAGGTCGGGGAGGCCGACGAGACTAAGCAGATTCTGGTGTACATTCCGTCTGCTAGTTCTCAACCTATCTTGGCTAAGTGTGCCCTGTTGTAAATTCAGCCCTAGACTATTGATAGGATAGATAGACTAAATGGGTACTGTTGTAAATTCCGCCCACTAGTTCGCTATATGTGGTGCTTGGGCAGCGTAGACTAACCGAATCCTGGTGTAAATAGTTCGATAGTTCTCGAGGTGCTGGCCAATTAGAATAGTTGGGCTTATTGTAAATGTTGTTAAATATACTGTAGTTGGTGAATTGGTGAATTGTAAGTCCTGCTAAAAAAGCTTGAGCTCTGCCATCTAGTGGGAGTGTAAATTGTGTGTATACTGTATAATAGCGCATGGTATTATAACCATTAATATGTACTATAACTACTGACGTTGTGTAAAAAATACTAAAAACTGTTGTCTTACGTTATATGTGTAACAACTGTTACTAACGTATCTGTGACTTTAAAACTGTATTATAACCACTTGCTAACCGTACCATAACCACTGATTGTAAAGATGAGGTTACTAGAATGTGATATAGTCGGTTAGTTAAAAGTTGATTTATAATGTGGATAATTGTAGGGTTTGATTCATAGTTACAGAGATAAGTATCTAGTGTTTGGTAAATTTTTGTGAGTGAGACTTCGTGATATCACTGTATGTACGAGAAATCTCTGCGTGTTTTCGTGTGTGTGTGTGTGTTTGGCCTAGCAATGGTGCCACGTGGTGCTATTGCCAGGGAAACAAATGTTGGAAGTGTGTTTGGGGTATTGTGTTTCTTTGTATTAGACGCTCCATTGCCAGTATGGGTGCGTCTGACTCAAACATTGTTGATCCCTTGTCGTGTATGTTGAACAACTTTGCAAAGGGATATAAAGTTTGTGATTTTGGGGTGAATTTATCCCCAAAGCGTTTGACTACATTATGTAGTAGAGAGTGGCCTATCTTGGTGACCGCATGGCCTCCACGTGGTAGTCTTGATCTAACTCTAGTGCAACGTGTGCACGAGGCTGTATCTAGTAGGCCTGAATTCTATGATCAGTTTCCTTATATTGATTGTTGGAAACAGATTGTGGAAGAATTGCCTAAATGGATAAAGGTATGCCACGAGGAGCAATGTCGCCTCATGGTGGCCAGGACTCGCCTGTCCATCAGGGCCACAACCCCGCCCATTTTAGACTCGCCCTCTGAATCTGAACTTCCCTCCCTACCCCCTTACTCCTCCTCTAAGGTTAGAGGAGGTGCTGCTGGTGTTGCCACTCCCCCTTCCCCATTGTCCCTGCCCACTCATTCATCTAGTTTAGAGCCCAGCCCACTTGCCCTGAGTCCTTTCCTTCCGGTACCTACCTCCACTAGTTCTATATATCCGGAATTAACGTCACTTCTGGTTCCTGGTCAGGCTCCTCCCGGCCCGCAACATCCTGTTGACTGAACTTCCGCCAGTAAAATTAACCCGCCTCATTCTCCTTACCTTACTATCCCTAGACCGGAACTTACTATAAAACAGCCTTGCCGAAGTCCTATATTAACCCGACAGATGACTGGTACCCTTTAATCCCGACATTTGCAAATGCCTCTCCGTCTTACCCCTGGTCCACCACATATTGCCCGAATGATTAACTCAGCATTTGTCAGCCAGGCCCAGAACAATATCAAGAGAAAATTACAAAAGTTAGAGGGATTTGCAGGGATGTCCATATCACAGTTAATGGAGGTTGCAAATAAAGTATATATGAATAGGGAAACTGAGACAAAGCGTGAGGAGGAACGTAAAATGAGGAAGAAAGCAGACATGTTAGTGGTAGCTATCACAGGTGCAGTGAGACAGGGAGGGGCAATGGATAGAGGAGTTGAGGCTAGGATGAGCAGGGTACCACTAGGAAAAGATCAATGTTCGTGTTGTAGAGAGGAAGTACATTGGAAGAGTGACTGCCCACAGAGGGGATATATTGTAGGTGGTAGACAAGATGAGAGACGTGGCCAGGTGGTTATGGTGGTAGAAAAAAGGAAGGAAATAGGCGCTCGCTATAGTGATCAGGCAGCAGTATACAAACAAGGATTCCCCAACCCTGTAAGTGAATAATAGGAAAACAGAGAGAAAAGCGTATACCGCGCCTAATAATTTATATATGTAAATACATACACGTATCCTTGAAAATTCCAAATAATCGTGACCTCAAAAAGAATTAAGATAAAAAATAATAGTGCAATACAGTAAATATTCTCTTAGAGACAGGTGGTTTAAAACTATGTACAGTCCACTCACATATGAATGAGCTATAACAGAGCTCTGCTGTAAAGCGCCTGGACGGTACAATCCCCGTCTTTGGATTTGTAGAAGTTGCCACAAATATTTCCAAAGTGCAATGAGCGTAGTTGATATAAAAGAAAAAATAGCAGCAATATGGTGAAGTAAGTACTAATAATATAATAAATATTAAATAGTATTGTACTTACAATTTCTAGAGCATAAATCCTGCTCTAGTATAAACAGCTTAGGTGGTATAATCCGCACCAAGGATATACAGGATCCAGGAAATAAAAAAAATAAATTGAGTGAATATAAAAGTAACTTTAAAAGTATACTTTAATATAAACAAACAGAATAAGGGATAAAATATATAAAATATAAAATATAGTCCACTTAACGCGTTTCGCCAGGTTGGCTTCTTCAGAAGTGTGGTGTAATGTCCAGTAAATCCGTTTATATATCCTTATTGATGAGAAGATGGTATCCTGGTGTGTTTACTTCCTGGTTCCGGCTTGTTGCTGACACGCACGCGTCATAACGGAAGTGACGCGGCACCCGCGTCATACCAGAAGTTATGGTGGTAGCTTTAGTAAGGGGAAGTTTTGGAGGATTTAATGGAAATGGCAGAGGGGGTGTTCAGGAAGGAATATATAATTCCCCTACTCAGAGACGTAGGGATAGGGAAGATAGAGATTTTGTGGGTCTGGCTGACATTGTCATGTAAGACTATTGATACCGACCGTGCTCCATCCCCCTTGGCCGAGCGGAGCCTATGGTCGATGTAGCAATAGGGGGAAAGAGACGTTCTTTCATGATTGACACTGGTGCTGAACATTCCGTGGTGACTAAACTTGTGGCTCTGCCTTCAGGAAAAACTATAACTGTGATAGGAGCTACTGGGAGAAGCGCAGCTAGACCGGTTCTTAAAAGTCGCACTTGCATTCTGGGACGCCATTTGGTGAAGCACCAGTTCCTATATATGCCAGAGTGTCCGATTTAACTTCTAGGACGAGATCTATTATCGAAGCTTCAAGCCCAGATAGCTTTTCTACCCAATGGATCAACGTCTCTGAGGTTTAATGGATTACCAGGCATAATGGCGGTATCGGTGCCAAGGGAAGAAGAATGGCGCTTCTACTCCATAATGATAAGTGTAAACCATAAGAGTGATGAACCTTTATTTGACATTCCAGGAGTATGGGAAGAGAATATTCCACGTGAGCTTGCTCGTAATATTCCACCTATACATATTGAACTAAAGCTTGGGGCCTATCCTGTGAGCCTACGTCAGTATCATATACCTCAAAAGGCTAAGAAAAACATACAGACCTACTTGGATAAGTTCGTAAGGTATGGTATCCTAAAATTCTGTACTTCCCCCTGGGACACTCCATTATTACCTGTTCAGAAACCAGGATCAGATGAATATCGTCCTGTACAAGATTTGAGAGCAGTTAATGATGCAGTAGTCAATATACACCCAGTTGTACCCAACCCTTATAATCTGCTTGCTTTGATATCAGGTGGGGCAACCACCTTCACAGTTCTAGACCTTAAGGATGCTTTATTTTGCCTTCGGATTGCTGC